GTCTTAGTATGGGCTCAAAGTATAGAGGTTTTAGGTTTGGATCTTTGACGATGTCTGTAATGAACATACAAAAATAAGGAGTTCTGAAAGTCAAAAAACATGATAATCTGTGTAATCATTCACGTTGAAATGTTCGTATAGTGGTTGTGGCACCTAAATTTCAACCTCTCATTTATACATAGATTTAAACCTCTGTACACCGAATTTATTGATGTTATTAACCACAATCGAGAAAGAACATGACATTTCAATTCAAATTCTTGAGTACTTTGAGTACCGAAATATATTTCATATTTTAATCAAACCAAATACTTTAAACTAATCTTATATTTCATTGAAATTATGAACCGAATAATGTTAGACCACTATTAAGAACCTGGAAGCACTGAACAGCCGTTTCGTCCTAGTGCGAGATTCGAACTCAGGACCTTCGGTCTCGCGCGGATGTTTAACCTCTAGACTACTGGGACAGCATCCAACGATGTTAATGTCTAACTCTAACCAATTCACGATATTGAGCAGCCATCTTCCACTGTCTTCGGTGGGTAACTACTTCACACCTGACACTGTTGGACTCCAGTGATTACGGCTTCTCACTAGAACTCCGAGAATTACCTCTCGAAGCTAGTCACTAGTGAACATATGGCAATATGAATTTACATAAATGAATGGCAATTATTTTAAATGATACATAATTACAACACAAGGTTGACCTAGATGAAAACTCTAAAGAAAATCTTTTAATTGTTTTTCACACTGGTTGGTAAATTAAATAGAACACAGAATATTGCTAAGATTTATATCCTGGTCAACATCTACAGTTCGAAATTTCTATGTACATATCTAAGTCATTATTATAGTATTTTTATTGAAATTCTCCTTAAAGTCTGCTAGTTATTAATTTTAAGTTAAATATTTACAATCGTTCATTTGACTGACTTCGGTCAACCGATGTATGTAACCTAAGGATGTGTAAAGTAGTGTAGTGAACAGAACACAGGTGGGGACAATCGAATTTATTTAGCACAGAATTACAGAGTTACTCGGTAAAATAAAAAAACCATATAGTAAATCATTAATTTCCATCATATCAAACCGGACTGTTGCTGTTGTTATCATCAATTCATTGTCTCACATTTCATTGTTCATGCGTTTTCTTACAAATTGTATTGTGTTCCCGCTCTTCCTTTCTTGATCTTCCCCCATCTTCTGCTGCCAGATATTACTTTCTTTAAGTCGCATCATATACTGTTTATACCAATATAAGTAGCACCCGCCACAGTAGGAACCAACAAAAGTTTAGTAAACTTTCTCATGTAAATGAGTATTATGTGAAGATTAATTAAGTTACATATTAGTGTTATGGTTGACTGTGTTAATCCTTTGTAAATAAATGAATTACAATGACTTTGTATGTGCAATCTACTCATTTTATCAAAATCTACCATAAATTTTTCACTAGTTATAAAATTAACTATAGTGAAATGTGAATTTTATTTATGTAAATCAGTCTATTTAAGGTAACAACTATCTGACTATATATAATAATATGTCGAAAATCCATGCAACAGTCAATTGTTTTTATTAAAGACTGATTTGGTTCATTCATTGAATTCAGTACCTAGATGGTAGTAATAGTAGTTCATCAGGTAGGTTTATGATGTCTGACTATTCACTTTTGTGTTTCAGGTTCAGTGAGAATTTCATCTGATTAATGATTCATTGGTCTAACAGCTTAATGACAATAAACTATGTGTGAATGGATCTAGTGTGTTAACAGAACACGGTTAGCTTGATCTTGTGAACAAACAACAGAAAGTCTTCAAATTTGATGCGAATCACATTTTGTGAGCGTAGATGTTATTCTGTGATTATAGCAACTCTTCTATAACAAATTCGATGATGGTTAATTTTTGTTTAACCCTTTTATTAATTTACTCAACAGAGGTTATTCGAACAATAACAATACGCATATTTCTGTATACTATTATGATCACTATCTTGTCTGTATATACGTTTACGCTTGATCACATGTGACAGCATACTCACATATCTCTAGCTAAAATGTTAATATCTTAAATATCGCTCGATATGCTGTTCTCTTTCCAATGTATATATGTATTCAAATCCTATTATTAGACTTTGCCTTACCTAGCTGCGCCTTGATTCGATTTGACTAAAAATTTGCCTCTGTATTTGCTCGTCCGCACATATTAGTCTTTCTGCTTCAAATACACTCGATGTCATTCTAGCTTTGCTATCCGTGCAATCCCCTAATAAACTGTAGTCGCCGCTTCTTACTGCCTTCTGAATTCAAACGCCGTTGAGATTTATATGATAACGGTTATCAAGGTGATTGGTTAACGAAGCTAAGCCACTACATGTCAAGTAGAATTTATGTTTTGAATAAATGTTACATCAACGTAAATATTTTTACTAGGGTTTATGAAAACAAACCACCAGTTGGGATAATCAAGGAACTTTCATCAGTCAAAGGAAAACTGAAAATTGAGAGTGGTTCTTTATTCTAGTATAGGATTCTCCAACAATGTGTGCCCTTATATATGATCAAGTCCATAAACTTCATGTACCACAAAGAACAGATGAATTTCAGGGTATATTTAAAATTGGACAAGTATTAGAGTATGTTGTTTACATCACAAAGTCTAGAGGTATTATGTTTGATTTTATGTATTGCCATGGGTAGACAGTATTCATCTATCTCATACCAGAACCAGTCATTCAGCCAGTCGTAAGCAGCGTAGAACTTAACATGTACATACATCAGTTCAAGTTGCCATACCACACTAGGCTTGAGAGATACAATTATCAGAACAAGTTTTAGAGTGGTAGAGGTAGTAATAGAATCTGTATTAGTAGACAAAAATAGATAAACAAATATGGCTTAATATGGAAAAATGAATTTGTGAAATAGTAAAGTATGAGACAATTAAAAACCCAAAATCTATAGAAAAATAGATAATGAATGCATTTAAACCATTTTAACCGATTCTGAACCATGTCGCTCACAGTTTCCAACCTTTGATTACAATAATCGAGAGGACCCTAACTAGGTCAAACATCTATTTCACACTTCATAGTTTTCAATGAATTTTCAACTGATCCCTAGTCATGACGGAAAGTTATTTTACTACTGAACAAAAGTTTTAGAAACAACCCTCTTAGTAAATAATGCATCCTTGTACAAACTGATTTTTAATGATTAATACTACTATGTTTGGGTTGTCAACAATTAATAAGAAACCATGAAATATAATGAACTCATGTTATTTTGCTTCATTAATTTTTCTTGTTTAAATAGAACTTATAAATGGGAAAAACTATGAAATTCCTAATAAAGTTGATTTCGCAAAAGTTCTCATCAATGAATATTAGTGAAAAGAGTAACAAGTATGGAAAGATGATAAGAGATGTTCATATGTTAATGAATGTGAATATTTTATAGGTCGAATATATATAAGAATATTCTTGAATAAACAACTAATAAAATAAAAAAAGAATTATTTGGCGGGACTATAATTTATGGACGAATCAATCAGATTTAGGCTAACAGGTCTTGGATTTGGGTGCGAAATTCATTCATCCATTTGGTTAAAGAGCATTTTGACATTTTAACTGATATAAGATCGTGATGAAAACCCTAACGTTCGACTGTAAATCATATTTCTTATTCATAACTCTCATTTAGTCTTAGTACGTAGGTGGATAGCGTGGACAGAACAACACTATCGAAGCTTCTTCGACACTACGGCGTGTCTCAGAAGATAGTCAATATCATACAGAATTCCTGTGATTGATTAAACTGCAAAATCATACATGGAGGACAGTTGACAAACTTTTTCGAAGTAAAGACCGATGTCAGGAAAGGTTGCTTACTCTCACCCTTCCTCTTTCTCCTGGTGACCGACTGGATCATGAAGACGTCGACATTTGAAGGGAAGCATGGGATACAGTGGACATCTAGGGTGCAGTTGGACGATCTAGACTTCGCAGATGATCTGGCCCTCCTATCGCACACGCAACAACAAACGTAGAAGATGACCAGTGTAGCAGCAACCTCAGCAGCGGTGGGTCTCAATATACACAAAGGGAAGAGCAAGTTTCTCCGATACAACACAGCATGCACCAATCCAATCACAATTGATGGAGAAGATTTGGAAGATGTAAAAACCTTTACATATCTGGGCAGCATCATTGATGAACAGGGTGGATCTGATGCAGATGTGAAGGCGCGGATCGGCAAAGCAAGAGCAGCATATTTACAACTAAAGAACATCTGGAACTCAAAGCAACTGTCTACCAACACAAAGGTCAGGATTTTCAATACAAATGTCAAGACAGGTCTACTGTATGGGGCGGAATCCTGGAGAAGTACAGGTGTTTATTAACAGTTGTTTACGCAAAATACTTCAGATCCGTTGGCCAGACACTATCAGCAACAACGTACTGTGGGAGAGAACAAACCAGATCCCAGGAGGGGAGAAATCAGGAAGAAGCGCTGGAAGTGGATAGGACATACATTGAGGAAAGCAACCAACTGCGTTACAAGACAAGCCCTCACATGAAATCCTCAAGGCCAAAAAAGGAGAGGAAGACCAAAGAACACATTGCGCCGAGAAATGGAGACAGACATGAGAAAAATGAACAAAAATTGAATAGAACTAGAAAAGGAGGCCGAGGACAGAGTGGGTTGGAGAATGCTGGTCGGCGGCCTATGCTCCATTAGGAGTAACAGGCGTAAGTAAATAAGTAAGTAGGTGGACATTCTCAAGGCCACTTTAGCGTCGCTCAAAGGTCGTTCATAAATTATAGTTTCACCAATTATTTATAAACAATATATATCAATATTATAGTTATGTAACTTTTAAAACAAAGTTAACTATCTAACTAAAGATCACATTTGAAATAAGACTTAATCATTCAATATTAAGAATGAACATTAAACTTTATTTAGTAATTCCTTTTCTTTATTTCTTTAGATAATTCAAATCATAATGATTCTATAATACTTCCATGTTTATTATGTAAAACTATTCAACAATCTCCATATCAATTATTAAATCATTTAGAAAATATTCATAAAATCAATTCAAATCAATTTACAATTGAACATAGAAATCATGAAAATATTCCAGGAACAATATTTAACATTGAACAACAACAGCAGCAACAACAACAACAGCAAATTGATTCATCATTAAAACAATCTAATATAAATCATAAATTAATTCATACTGATTTATATAAATATTCTAAAAATTTTACAAATTATTTTAATCTATTTAATTTTATATATGAAAATTTATTTTATTCTTATCATAAAAAGATTAATGAAATGGAAACAATCACATCTAATTATTTCATATCATCTAAACATATAAACAATCAATTAATTCATGATGAAAAGGATCAAGTTGAACCATTTTCTAATGTTAATCTTAATCCATTCAATATATTGGATGAAAATAATCATCAGAATAATTCAATAAATGAAAATGTTATATCTTATGAATTATCTTTAGATCAAAATTCATTTTATTGTTTAAATAAGAACAAAAAGTCTATGAAACCATACAATATAACTTATAATTCTAAAGATAGTTCAATGAAAACTTCTTATCTGAATCGACATTATATTAATTCAATTAACAATACTACTACTACTACTACTACTACTAATAATAATAATAATAATAATAATAATAATAATAATAATAATGGGGTGAAAAAACAAACATCCAAATTAATAGCTCATTTAAGACGTGATATATGTGAATATTGTGGTAAAATATTTCGAAATTGTAGTAATTTAACTGTACATCGACGTATACATACAGGTGAAAAACCATATCATTGTAATATATGCACATATTCATGTGCTCAATCATCAAAATTGACAAGGCATATGAAAATACATAATAAACAACAACAAATTTGTAAATTAAAAACATCTAATACTGAATATTCAGTAAACTATTTAAATAAAATAAAAAATAATTGTAAACAATGTAATAAAAGTTTAACATCTCATAAATATGAATGTCATTTAGAAGCATGTAAATATGTTATTTGATTATTGATGAAAACATGAGTATACTATTTTATAGATAAGAAAAAAAAGTATGAAAAATTCTCCATAGGTAATCTGAAGATATTACTTGTACTAGAGGAAGAGTCGATAAGTTCTTATTTGAGCGCCATTGTAATATATATCTTGTTGTATTCATTAAAACAAGGATTGATCATTTTTCTTCTAAACTTAACTATTTTTGTTTAATTGTTTTACTACTTATTTCAAAATAAGTAGGCAAAACATTATGTATTTTTGTAATTTATATATAGATTTTAGTGATTAGCATTTACAGAATGTTGTGATTTATTTTATTTTAAGATAGAAATTTGAAATTAGTTACTGTTTCGTATCACACTTTAGAGGGGCATATTAATTTAATCTCAAATGTACCATGATTTATGAACATTCATTTTTTGAGGAGTCCTAAACTATGGGGAATTAATTACCTACCGTTGTCAATGGTTTTATTGTTGGTGGTTTACTGTGATGACAAATGAAAAGTTTAAATTTGTAATCATTAGATCGCTTTCTTGGCCAATTTTATCAACTATCTGCTTATCTTTCGAGGTTTTCGCACTGCTAAGTGTGATTCTGGCAAGAATGTGAGGCATGTCCATACAGAATCGAACACTTGGAACCATATGAAATGGATGTGTGTTAGAGTAAGGTTATTTTTATCGGTGTATATAGAATTATTGTATAGAGGCTGATATTTAAGCTATAACTATGCCCCAACAGTATTTACTGATTACTGTTCAGTAGTAAAGCAGTAAAATTCACTAATTGTATTTTGTATCACTAATTTCACCCTTGATCTCACTCAATATGCTTATCGTATTGAGAATAAAGCATCGTTCGTGTTATAGACATGACTTATATAATTTAGTCTGTAAAATGGTAAAAACGGGAAATCACTATCTCTAACAACCAATAGTATCCAGTAAAACGTTACTTTCATAATTCAGTAGTGAGTTGATAAATGAAACGACAATTGTCGAGATGAAATTTCAGTAGAGAAAACGACACCCACTGAAGAGCGGATTCTTTCACTTGGGTCTCAAAAACAAAGTAACACTCATCATGAATACCACAACAAGTTACTGATCCCGCTAGGCGGGATCATGGATGAGCACTACTGGGGAGTCCCACAATAGGACGAAACGGCTGTCCAGTGCTTCCAGGTTTTTCATGGTGGTCTAGTTCATTATCTCAACTTCTAAAATTACTATAATACCAACAAAACCCCTTCTGATACTAAGACAGTTTTGTTAAATATTATGATCATAATTATAAGTAACTGTATTAATAACAAACAAACATGAAATACTAAGGTTGTTCATAAGTAGTTGTAAGAAGAGTGTGGTTAAAACATACTAATATAAAAGACTGGAGGTATCTTCGACAATCTCTTATGAACATATCCAGCGTAGCTTAACCTCACATTTTGATTAAAAAACACAAACATAGTAAAAGTGAGAGCTTGATATAGTCTTCAGTGAGAAGTACTCACCAAAAAAACGAACAAGAAAATGACAGAAATTACTGAGTAAAACACATTTAGAGAGCATTAAAATGCTACAGATAATCTCATCCATGTGAATTACATCATAATTTGAAGCTCTCATAACGGTTGGGAATTCTCAGTTATTGAATTATTAAAAGAATTCACTTTTATTATTTACAGCTTAAACTGTATCAGGTTTTTTATAGTTGTTGGTAAAAAGTAACGTACAGGAGAAAAATATATAGAGAGATGATATGCTAAGCTTAAACACCCTAACTGTTATTCATTAATTGTAAACTATCTATCGTATCTAACACAATTCCTAGGAAAATGCAAAAGCCTAATCCTCAAAAACTCTGGAATTTAACAGAAAAATAAAAAGAACTCAGAGATTATCGTCGTAGGGTGTTGCTAAGATTGTGGATGATCATGAATGAAGACCACTAATTTGCTGAATTTAGACATGCACGCTCATGAATATCAGCTTTTACTTGAAGATCTTATGCTCTGTACCCGTTATTGTAATGGATATACACCACTAAGGAGCCGTATACTAGAATGAAACAACTGTCTAGTGCTTCCTGGATTTTTTAGTGGTTATCTAGCTAAGATGTAATCTAAGGAAGATTATTATCTACTGAATATTCTACAGAGCTGAGTAAATTATAATCTAAAGTCGATCAACGGTCATATCAAGTTAGCTTTTATATTTTGTTAACACGATATTATTGTTCCGAATAGGGCATGTTGGTTACAGATGTTTCATTGATGTGACAGATATATTTTAAACACTAATATCAAAAGTAGTAGAAATTAATGGCGTATCGTAAGTTTTCCTAAATTATCATGTAATATGATTTGATTTTGATTACTTGGAGAAATACGACTATTTCTTATCGATTGTCATTGCTTTTTTGGAATGTGATAGGCGAAACAACTATTACACATCGATTTACGATAGTATATTACCGTCTTCCATTATCATTGGTAGCCACCTTCTTCACACTCAACACGGTTTAGTTCCACCACTCATGGTTTCTCACTAAAACTCTGGAAATTTCCTCTTGAAGCTAGTCATTAGTAAACACGATAATTGTTAGTATGGGGTGGTTACGGTTGTTGAATTTCGTTGATTTCATGAACCAGTCAGTAAAATTCAACATTCTTGAAAACCCTGTACGGACTATCAATTTTGATTGTCAGAATATGTAATTGAATAAATGGGTTTGTTTGACTGAGTATTTTGTTCGGATCTCTAGAAGATGGTTCTTACTGTTAAGTGTAAATGTTGTGAATTATTAAAAAAATCTGCACTGATCTGATAAGAATAAGTTGAAACAAAAACTGAATTCAGTGTTCCGTAGTCATTTTTATCAATGCTTTTTTGACTTAAGTTAGAAGCACTATCCAGTTGTCAAACAACACATAACCATTGTTATTCCGGATACAAAGTTTTGAAATTATATTACCGCTTGTTTTTCATTTCATCTCTTAGCATTTCCGTCATATTATGGGAATTTTCTTTGGCTAAATGATCTTGACCGTACAAAAAGGGTATAATATATCAACGGTTGGTAAAAACTGGTTAATTAAATCTTTAAACAATATTATCAATCATGTGAACTGATGATAATAGTGAATGGGAAAATATCGACTGAACATGATAAATCAATGGATGATAAGAAAGATTAGAAAGTTGTGTTGGATAAAACATTATTTAAGAATAACTGAGTGGTTATTTTTTCCTAACTTTATGGTAATTTAGTATAAACGACAGATTGGTTGACCATACAAACACACACATGCACCCATTCACACACTCAATATTACGAGGAGATCATAGTTAAGAAAATAACTTAATAAATGCTAATTCGGTAGTTTAGAGTCTAAGTGTTCACAATGGGACCTGAAGACCCTGGGTCCTATCCCAGCGGAGTCGTAGATGATCATCAGTGAGGAGTCTCATACTAAACGGTGCTTTTTAGGTTTCATTGATTTATAGACAAGATCAACTCGTCATGTAAATTATAAAATCTAATAATTACTTCAAAACCCTTGTACTGACAAAATAAAAGATTTGGGACTTGTTGAAAACAATCTTTAGGAAAATGGGTGCCAGAAGAAATTAATTATCAAACAAGGAAAAGAGTAACTTGTCTTCATATGTCTTACGTTCAAGGTGAATGGGATTTCGGGGATAATTAATAAAATGATTAGGGTAGCAGCGAGAACGAACCTTTCTACAGACTAACTGCTTTCATTATACAATTCCAAATGATTATTAAATCAATCAAATGCAGATGTCGACATAACATATATGATATAAATAGGATTTCTAATTCGTCTACATCATCAACAGTTCCATCATATTGGAGTCAGACAAATGGCATTTAAATACTACTGAGAGTTTCTAAGAGAAGTTAGTCAAGGAGAGACTATAATTTATGGATGACCTTTAAGCGACAGTAAAGTGATCTTGAGAAAATTCGCCTACGTAATATGACTGAAAGAAGGTTATAAATTCATGTTAAGAATTAGGATTAGAATTTAACGTTAGAAGTCACGGTTAAGGACTAGAGTCAGAGTTTTCATCACGCATCGACGTCAAAATGCTATTTAGTCATATAGATGAATGAATTTCGTGCCGAAATTCAAGTCCTGCCATCTTCAGTTTCATTGATTCGTTCATAAATTATAGTCTCGTCATTTTTTAATAAAAGGTATCAGTTGTGAAAAAGACAAAAGAAGACATGATGATAAAAATCAATAAGCGCTTCATTTGCTAGATTAAAGTAAACAACCTCCAAAAGTTAAATCTACTTTTAATAAAGATAAACAAGTACATAAAAATATTTAATATAATTATTCAATGATATTAAATAGAATTAATTTCAATTATCTTTCTAGTGTTATTCAGAAACTCAACTAACCAAATATTTTGATTACCCCCCCCCAGTACTAACAATATATTAACTATGGCTAACTGCAAGAGATGGTTACGCGAGTCCAATTGAAAAGTCATGATCAGTAAGGTTCAATCATACCGTGTATAAGGCAGATATAATCACGGAGAATGAAAGATGACCGTATAATATTGTGAATTTATTGAGATAAGAAATATGAATCAGGAGGAGATAACACAACAATCTAAAGGTATCTTGGTCATCGTGAAGTCTGAAGATTCTAGGTACGATCCTTGGGTGGAATCATGAATATGTACTTCTAAGGAGTCATATATTAAGGTGAAATAACTATCTAATATTTCCTGGTTTTCAATAGTTATGAAATCGATGACAATCCTTAATGTAAAATTACACATTCAACAATTTCTACAAGCCCACTTTTTAAAATGAGCTATAGAAAATAGTATGAATCCTTTTCGTTTAAAATTTACTGAAAATTAAGTCCGAAAAATAAGGTATGCTTAAACTAACAAATAATGAATATTTAAGGATGGAATATTCATCGTTAACACTTAACGAACTTACAAGTGTAATCTAACAAATTTATGCTTCAGCAAAGTAACAGAGTTCCAGATGAAAGGAAATTCTACATTGGATTAAAAAAAAAGTTGGCAATAAAATACACTTATCACTAGTTATTACTGTTGGCTAAGGGATAGTATTAATTTGATGATATGTTATTAAAATAATTATCAACTTCATACCCATAGTTTATAGGTACGATAAGATTAGTTACAATTAAATGGAAAATAATGAGTATAATGTTTAAAACGGGAATAATCCTTTAAGGGTATGAAATTTATTTTAATACGCTTTACACCCCCCCGCAACTATTCATCTGTATCTTTCTCCTACCAATCAAAAGCGTGATTTTGACCGGCCAATGAAATCCTCACTATTTGAGAGATAAAAGTCGTTGTTGTATGCCCTGTTTATTCCAAATAGTGAAGTTGATATTATTTTCAAAGAGCTGTTTGTTGATAAATTATTTCAAATGGAAGCAGAACTTTTGAGACATCAAACATGTTTATGAGAATGTGACTTTTTGTCATTTCACAACACAAGATAGTCGTTGAAATTCAAATGATTTTTTTCATAAAATATGTATGCAGAATGAAGGATCATCTTCAACTACCGCTAACTTCTCAAGAGACATGAATGTTTGTTTTACAGTGAATTCTTTATAAAATGATTTAGATAGCCAGTTGGTAGTGGTTGTTAACCTTACATATTTTTGTTTGGCTGGTAGAAGCCTTTTCATCAGTATGTTAGATGGTCAGTGGACACGTAGTCATGAGTTGCTTCATCTCACTTATGAGAAAGACCTTTGCTATTTTTGTCTGACAGAATAATTATAATATACTAATCAGTAGTTGGAAATAATAGATATATAGATTTTTGTTACACCACAGTGAGTAGAAAATTGTATTTCCGACGTTTCATGACTTAGTATAAGTCACCTCTTCAGAGTGAATAAATAACCAAATTCAATTCCTTTGTACTATTTAGACTTGTGTTAATTGGTTCGTTAATTATGGTCTCGTCGAATTAATCTGTCGAGTAAAATACGTTTCTCTTAAGTCATTAAGCAGGAAAGTAAAGACAAGATTTGTAGAATAAAATAAATTGATTGGAGTTTTTGAATTCTACACCGTAACTGTATGTATATCAAAACAATTCAAGTAATAAATAGCGATAAAAAGTTAATTTTAATAAGTATCTATCAGATAACAGAACATTGTTTTAATAGAATAACCGAGCTTATAGAGAAACGGTGATTTGGGAAAAGTTAAAACTATTCTATGGATAAATATTATGGGTAATTATCAAATATCTAGTCTATGGTATTTTTATTTCTTAATTATGAGTCGATGTACAAAGTTCTGAGGATTTTGTTAATTATTTTCAGAGTGGGGTTTGTAGTAATTTTAACATAAAATTGATCTATTCTGGTCATTATGTAAAGTTGTGATTCTTCTTAGAATGATTAAGTGTAGAGTATTCTCTTCATCCCTTATAATTGTTAGTTTGATCGACTCATGAATTCAATTATGAAAATACTACAATCTCCACAAATCCCCATACTAGTAATAATCATGTGCTCGCTAGTGGCTGATTTCAAAATGAATTCCCTGGAGTTCTAGTGAGAAGCCATGACCAGTGGAGTCCAATCTGTGTCAGGTAGAGACAGGTAACTACCTCAGACAATAGATAAATGGTTGCGCAGCCATTCATGGATTGATGGAAGTTAGATATTGACACCGTCTGATGCTGATTCAATGGTCTAGAAGTTAAGTGTTCGCGCGCGAGACCGAAGATCTTGGGTTCAAATCCCGCGTACGGGATCGTGGGCGCGCGCTGTTGAGGAGTCTCATACTAGGACGAAACTGCCGTCCAGTGCTTCCAATAATGGTCTAGCTTATATCGACTCATGAATCCAACTATTAATGTTAATTATTTATCTATTACTCCGTTTGATATCACCTATAACTTAGTTGTGTACAAATTATTTCTTATTTGTGGTATAATGAATAAAGAATAATAGTGTAATTTATCAGGCAGTTTTGGTATTCTGATTGGTTATTAGGATAGAATATGAGTGGACTGATAGGGTTTAGGATTTTGAAGTCGTTTTTTCAGGGTTTTTTATCATTGGTAAAAGAAAAGATCGTTGTTAGATAGGTATGCAGCAGATGCATCGTTAGTGGACTCTAGAATTAAATGAACCAATTAAACGGAAGTTTTGAACTCATGACACTACTAGCTTGTAGGCAGTTAGGAATGCAAAGAAATAAAATGAACACGTTCAATTTTATTATTTTTGTTTTGTTGAAATCTACGAAGACAACTGATCACACACAAAACCACCGAGTATTTAATTCTTGTCTAATAACCCGAAAGTTCACTTCTATATGAATTGGGTCCTGATGTTGTCCAGAATGACAATAAAGGCACAGAGAACCTAAAGCACCAAAAACACTCCTATGTATTCAATTCTAAAGTTTAGTTTAGAAATTTAAAGTGAAGTCAGATGTATTCTTATGGTTGTATCTTTACTTTAACCATATCGTCAAAACCATAGTTTACATGTCAGATAATTAATTCAAATTTATAGAACAATTCCTAAAATTTTATCTTGTGATAGGATACTGAAGACCAAAAGAAATGTTTACACTTAATCAACAAGGCATAACAGCAAATCTCTGATATCACACATACATTATTTGTCCTAACCATTGGAGAGAGAAATTATTCTAATCTTTTTACTTTTATTATAACCTATATGTTTGATCTTGTCAATTCCTCACGTGTGAATCTTGATCATGTTATATACATGTGTGTATATTAGTACGTATGTTCTGTATGTGTTGAGTCATGTTTTAGTCAAATTGAGTAGGTTGAGAATCCTTTCTCCACATTACACCTCTTACCATGTCTGTATAAATGAATATCTGAAATAAACTTCCGATTCAGTTCGAATTTAGCTTTCATTGGCATTGTTGTCCAAACGGGTTTAGCCTAAGTATAATACACTAAATAAACAGCAAAATATATATTGTTTATGGTTCACTCATTATGAAGTTAGAACATGGGAAATAAAATATGTATTCGGACGAATATTGCATAAAAGAAACTTTGATACTGGAGCAAACTTTCAATTTCAATGTATTACTGAAAAGTTTGAATGATAATCATAGACTGAATTTAAGATATAGCCAATATCATTGGATAAATCATTCAAATTACATATACATATGGTAGATCATTTAAAAAAATGATAATATCAAAGAAATAAAGAAACGAAGAAAATATAAAGAACAAAATACAAATATAAAGTCAAATTTAAAAGTAACTTTTCACTAAAATACATACATACATGTACAAGAAAAAGCACATATATTGATCATATTACCAAACAAACAAACAATAATCATTGTAGTGAAAGAAGTCACTGAAGTAAACAATTCAGAAGAAAAAAAAAGAAAGATAATACGGAAAAGTAGTGATAAATGTTACACTTACAAGTTATTGGAGCAAAACTATTCCGATGAACATAAACAAACAAACAAACAAACAAAAGAAATCCAGTTTAACACAATCACAATCAGTAAGACTGAATAAGTATGTATGTATACTTAACTAGTACCGGTTACTTAGAAAATATGAATTATATGGATAATACATTTTGGATAGTATGAAAAAAAGGGATTGAGATGTGTCATTACACAAGATTAACAATGATATTATTTTTAACTATTTAAAACTAATAATATAATATTAAATATATTAATAAACAGTAATGAGAAATATAACCAACAAACATTTAACATTAGATTGTTTTGTTAAAAGATATAAAAAGGAAAGGAAATATGGGTAAAAATAGTAGTACAATAGCATAACATTATTTTTAATTTCATTAGAAGAAAAAAAAGCCAAATGAAGTGAATTAGTGTTGTATGTAATAAATTTATTTATTTCCCTCAAAATAATGAGTAAAGGTGTTTGAAGAATCAAAATATTAATGAGAATGATGATGATCATAAGATGGATAAGGTTTTAAGTGAAATATTTGAGCATACAAAAAAGTTGGATGAATTTGAAAGAATGTGCTTAGTTACAATTTGGATTACTTTGGTAATGTCTCTCTCGTTCTCTCTAGAAGTAAAAATTGTCTGAAAAAACAAAACCAAAAACCAAAATCATAATGAATGAATGGTAATATTACCAATGATATTCATTAATTAAAAGTACTATCATTTGAATACTGCAAAAGTTGTAAAATTGTAGGTTTGTATGTATTAAGATTCTGTTGGGGACATGTATTTATACAATTCTGATCAAATTATAAATTTACTGAAAATCCTGTTTTATAAAGTTTTAATGATTTGAATATCAACACACCAATGGGTTAGGTTTTGTGAACAGGGTTTCTTGTCAACTACCACTCTAACCAATTAATATCCTAATACAGGAGATGTGATGTCGAGTTAATTAGAATAATGGCCACGATGAAAACTAGTCGACGAAATTCGACCAGCACTTAAGAGACTAGATAAATATGACATTGGTCACTATTAAGTGATCAATGAGCTAAAAACATTTTAGTCCCATAGGTCAGTAGTAGCCAGAATAGCTCAGTGGTAACGTCTCAAAGTATGAAACCGGGTGACGGGTTCTAATCCCACAGAGAGTATCAGTTCTCATAAAAATACAAGCACGACTTACTGACGAATGTCGACTAGCATGAAAACTAAAAATAGGGTTTCCTGACAGCTATTTTCAACCACCTAAAACAATACCTAAATGAAGATTTCAGTATCACATTAGACAAAATTGAAAACGTAACTTAAAATAGAGATATTAAAGGATCTACCGTCGAATCACCAGTACGTATATAAAAACTAAGAAGCTAGTAAGAGTTAATAATGGAAATAGAAAACCTAAGAGAACATGAGTTAAGTGATCGGGATTTATGATGAAAACAATAGTATTGAGTACTGATGTACGCGCTTATGTAGTTGGATTATTTCAGTTGCCTATCGTACGAATGGTTGATTTATCTAGGAAAACCTGATAAAGAAACAGGACCGGTATTGATCATTTCATCGATTAGATAGTATGACAGCAGAGTACAAAGACAACTGCTTGTTATTGGTTATATGGTTATTCCTATGAATACTTGCTTCCTAATTTGGTGTCTTGACTTTTTATTCGTTAAAGTTTCCTAGTAGCATCAGGTCTCCGTAAAAAGGGGAAACAATGTACAATTTTAGGGACCACTTTCTAACCTTCAGTTCCGGGGTCACATTATCACTATTAATATATATAATTGTGAATACAAATAACAATGCAAAAAGAGAATGAGTAGTTGGCATTTGACGAAATCCACTACTTACTTTAGTTGTTAGCGATGAAAGTCCAGTAGAGAAAAAAACAAGTAAAACGAAAATCAATCTGATGAAATAATTTTAGTTAAACTATAAACAAGGTGTATAGTTTGTATGTGGAACGTTAAGATTATCATGATTGATTGAATGATTTTCATTTAATCGTAAAGAATTAGAATTTTCTTGTGATGCCACTACTACTGCTGCTGATCGACAAGGATTATTTGATGAATGAATATTATTTAATAAATAAGAGGTAGTTGGTGATGATGATATAATTTGTGATAATGATGATGTAGAAGATAATAATACTTCATCAGATGATGAACACGATGAAGAATGAAGACGATCATCATGGTTGTAGGGAGAAGATGTAAGATGAGGATGAGGAGGGGAAGATGAAGATGAATGAACAGATTCTTGGTTACTGTTATTATTACTATTATTATTAGAAATGGAATGAGATTGTGATGAATTAATTTTTGATGATCTATTATTTATTTTATGGATAGAACGTGATAATGTTTCGTATTTTTCCATATTTAATGTACGCACGTATAATTGTTCTTTAATTAATTCCAAAAATTCTTCTTCTGATAAATCACTTTGAAATAATAATTTCACTGGTTTTGAATGTATTTGTGTCAAACAAAATGGGCATCTTGCGTGTAATTCAAAATTATATCGATTTAATAATTGTAAACTACACCAGTATCTGGAGTACAGATGGGAAAAAAACAATGACATGAAGATAAGTGAAACGTTAGAAAAGTGTAATGATGGAAATCAGTCATTAATTGCACACTAGTGTACAAGCCACATAGTGGTTAAGTAAAATATGAAAATCGTACATTAAATACATCATTTGCACAACTTCGTGTTGTCCTTTATATACTCCATTGTTCCTCTAATTTTGCTGTTATTTTGGTTGCTCTTCGATTCCTTCTCTGTTCTCATCATTTCACTGTCCTGCTGCTAGTCATTCCACTACCGACTGGCGCTACATACTACTTATATCTATCAGCATAAACAGCATACAACACAGTGTTACCTTTTCGACAGTAAACAACTGGGATATTTTCTCTTATACGAAACTGGATCTACACAAGCTCGATAGACGAGATAACTGACATACACATAGTTCACCAATTATCCTCAACGCGGTGAAACACAAAGAGAAGACAGGTGTTAAGAAAAAGATTGTTATTCAAGGGGTACAATTTGAAGTAAAACAACTCTTTGTATATGACAACAGACAATGATTTTGAGAGATATAACAAAACTAGTAAATTATAAGTGACAACAGACACTCAAATAACAGCAAACGTCATTGGGAAAATGTTACCGAGGCCATTCTTACACATAAGAACTATAACTTGTTTATCAACACAAATATAGATAACGTGGTTTTTTAGAAATCTGAATTTTGGACACAATTATGATGGAGTAGGGTTATTGGTATACCAATCACGTTTAAAAACAAAATTAGAGTGGGAGTCAAACTTAGAACTCTTTACCTGAGAGTTGAGTGATTTCATCGATAACTCGCAACTCCATATATATGATTAAAATGCATATTGTCTTATTCAGAAATAGATATTCTGAGATACTTTAAGAATTATTTATTCGGTCACTAGATGGTAATTATGATTAGGAACAAATAGCGCAGTTTACAAGTCAAGAGAGATTTCGATATATTTTACTGTGGTTCGATAGAATTATGGTTTTTTCTAAATAATAGTGAGTATACTGAGGCTTTTTTAGCATGCACCTGGCTTGGTGCTGGACTGCATGTACCCTGGTTAGTGGTATTTACCCTAGGCTTCAGTGGTTGAATATTGAGGTTTTTAGCTGAGCTACTCAGTGATTGTTCTGAATGGTTGGCTCGATTCTACGATAGTTAGTAATAGTTCAAATTTAGCATGATGAGGGATACTTGGTAGTAACTACATATAGATCCAGGCATTCGAACTACAAGTTGTATTTGTTATCTGGAAGTTGACAGTATTTGTAGCTTATAAAAACTAAACCGAAAATAATACAATTGCTGTATCTAATTGGATATCCACCAGATATACGGAACACATTGGATTGGTGAGTCTCAAGTTAAAGAGCATGCGAAGGAAGTACAGTGAATCAAGTATGAGTGCAGAGATAAACCAAGGGCCAAGATCAATATTGATATTACTGAGGTCATTTGACCATTTAAAAGTAAACATCAAGTTGTAATTACAGTTACTTACGCTGATAGAGATTCCTATTCGGTTTATATTGTATTTAAGCAGACAGATCAAAGCATATATATATATATATATATATATATATATATATATATATATATATATATATATATATATATATATTCAATCATAGAGCTCTAACAACTATATGTGCCGGGAGTTCACACATTACTTTTGTTAGCTCATTGAAAACGTGAATGTTAAAACAAACATATATTGTATAAAGTATACTTAAGTAAGTTACTATTACATAATAAAGTTATTTTTAGAAAAAAAGCCCATAGGGATAGTAGCAGGAAAGACATTTTGATTATGCACTTCAAATAAAGCTAATTACGAAATTGTTCTCTACAATAAATTCTTTTTCATGTCGTGATTACAGTAAAAAGAGTAGCATTAAACGTTACAACAATTCATACTTTTAGAGTTGAACATAATCAAATTAAACATAATATGTGATTTAATCTATATATCTTTATAGTATATATTGTAAGAATATATAATAATCAAAGATATTACTAATTATCATGTGTAGTAGTTAATATTCGTTTAAACTTACCGTACAGTATTTTCTGAAGCAATATGTCCACAAGGATTAAAACAATGCGTAGCTAAACTACGATCAACATAGAATGCTGACTCAATGCCCATACGTAATGGGATAAACAATGATGCTTGTAAACATAGTGGACATGTTCGACGACTATTTCTGAATAAATTAAAACAAAACTGATAGTTATTATTAATTTAAACACAAAAGAGACAAAAATAGAAAACACAAGGTATTTACAATGTTTTTCGTCCACTGTAAATATTTAATAAATATGGGGACGAAGAATATAATTTTAGGAATAATAAAAATAAAAAAACGTTTATGAGAATCAACAGTATTAGAATTCATGTTCTTTAATTTTTGTTACCAAGGATTTGACATATAAAATAGTTTAAAAAATTTTAGTTGCTGACAATTTTCAAGCTAAATAGCTTATCAATCGTCTAAAGTATTAAGCATCCTACCTAGATCACCGTTTATCTAGATATGCATTATTAGCTTTAGTAAAATAAAGTTAAAGGTTACGGATGATCAAACTAACACATGGGGTTAGTCGATGAAGTTACTGATTGTTAATTTGACTGATGTAGGAGAGAAGTGTAAGTCTACTAAATGGAGCTCTTTTCCTTGAGATAGTTATGTACTATTTACCATGTGATTTTTGACTACTTGAATACTTGATATAAAGTTTCCGCTCATCTATTTATTTCATACTTGTTCACTATAACATTTACTCAGTTTTTCTGGTTGTATTTGAGCGTGCTGTTTCAAAATGGTGACAACTTCAATATCTACGAATATTTTCACTCTAATATACCTGTTTATCTTTTCTTATGTAAACATATCTAAATAATTTTGACTATGTTTATTTAGTACTTTAACACAATGAATTTATTGAGGTCAAATATTCCTGTGAATTATATTTCAGTCGTTTTAATAGTATCAGGAGATTTGTGGATATTTTAGTAATTTCAGTGGTTGAAATCATAAGTCAGTTGAAGCTAGATCACCATGGAAAACCTGGAAGCACTGGACGACCGTTTCGTCCTAGTATGGGACTCCTCAGCAGCGCGAATCCACGATCCCGCACCCCGCGACATTCGAACCAAGTATCTATCAGTCTCCTGCACGAGCGCTTAACCATTAGACCATTGAGCCGGAATCCGACGGTGTTAATGTTCAACTTCAACCAATCCACGAAATTGCGCCACCATCACCATTGTCATCAGTGAGTTACTATCTCACAACAGACCTGGTTGAACTCCACCGGTCACTGCTTCTCACTAGAACTCCAGGAAATGCGCACTGTTGAGGAGTCTCACAATAGAACGAAACGACCGTTCGGTGGCTTCCAGGTTTTCAATGGTGGTCTAGCTTTAATTGATCTCAACTATTGAAATTACTATAATATCAACGAAAACCTCTTCTGATCTCAATGTATATTTATTTGTGAATCCATTAAGTTAGTTAAATGCCAAATAAAAGTTGCCATGTAGAATACTGTTTCAACTATTCAATTTTTTAAGTAAATTAATCGATATCTTTTTCTTAACGCAAGACTTGTTTGATAAAAAGGTGCTCGACTGATTAATTTGCGTACATATATAAGCTATTTCATTTTATTAACCATATCAACTGAAAATCTTCAAAATTACAATAATTCTACAAAATACATCAGTAATGGTGTTAATGTAGCTAAAAAAACCCAACTTGGAATATTTCTGTAGCATCTTAGAAATATGTTCATTAGTTTATTGCCCAGTCTTTGTGCCAAAAAGTGATTGTTCTAATGAAAAATTAGATAAATCCAAGTTCCAAACAATATATACTTTCAGATCATAATAACAATATATTAAATATATTGATACATGAAACTCACACATCACCAACTGCACGCCAATTATGCCAACCGTGTACATGACCACAGCTTACATACACATAAGGCATTTGATCAGGACTAATTTGATCTGATTCTAGTTTAGATAGTGCATTGTCGTTATTTAATATCCCATTGTTATTTTCCATATTAACTATGTCAGAATGAGGTGAAAAATGTGTACTTTGAGGTAAAAGTGGAAGTTTCAATGTACGATATAGGACAGGACATTGAATATGAGCTTGATTCAATCCATTGATCTAGAGAGAGAGAGAGAGAGAGAGAGAGAGAGAGAGAGGAAGAAAGAAATAACGATACAAACAATTGTAAACAAAGAAAAAATAAATATTTACTTAGAGCAAACAAAGAGGTAACTAACTATATAAAGCTTAATTTATGTAGTGAGATTTTTAATTCGAGAGAAAAATTTTTATAATTTGTATTCAGGGAACAATGTAGTGCAAAGTACTATGTCACATAATTAGATTGTTTAGTTTTGTGGCAAAGATAAAAAAAATATACATTGGTTATTATCCTCTGGAGACTTGTATATACTTGAATTCTTGCTCATTTGCAAACTTCAGATCCCACTATTGAAAATAATATGGGTGTCACATATAGAGGATATTCAATGATAACTCTAATGACAACTGAGATACAATACAGAACAGCTATAGTCGCTTTTAGCTCCACCATGACTACTCAAAAAGATCAACCTAATTGAGATTTATTGAATAAAACCAAGGAAGAATAATACATATCCAAGATAATTCAGTGATTATTAAACACACAGTTTTATTAAATGAATTGAATACGAAATCACGATGAAATAACTATCAGAAGGAAAATGAACTTAGAATCAAATAACTAAATACAAATGAATTACACTCAAAACGAATGAATAGAATTCATGAAAATGGATATGCCGGATTAAGATTGATATTTTTTCTTGTACATTGTATTTGAGGGTATAATGTCCTTAACAATAAGTAAGATAAGTGACATGATATATGATTCAGTCATGAAATAAATTAGTTGCCAAAGGTCAACAATAATGTTACATTTGTGTTTTAATTTATAACCATGAACTTGACTTTGTGAATAGGGTCTTAAAGGATTGAAATTCGATTTTCCTTTTTAAGTAGATAAAAATCTCTATATATTCGATTCAGGTTATGAATCTTAAGGACCTATAAATCCTAAGTCTTATACCGATCAGTTCTTTTATTTTATCCTTGAATTCTTATGCCGCTTGGTCAAAGTGAACTGTCTCTTAGAATTACAGTTATATCTTAACAAAACGGAAGAAGAATATTTACAAATAAATATTATAATTGAGACATGGATCCTTACTTTTTTCATATCAGATAATAATCAGTGTTCAAATAAAGCAAGAAAAAACATGATATTTAAGAAAAATAATGGGGCATAAAAATTAAACAAAACAAAATAACTTCAGTATAAATAGGTCACAATATTTAAAATATAACAAAAAATAAGGACAGTCTACAAATTCGTTGTTTATAAAGTTACTGGGAAAACATCTCATATGAGAATAGTTAGTGAAATTGAACTAAGTTAATTCAGCAATGTTAATATAAAGAAAATCAATATTGTAACCACTTTCTGACTTCACTGTTGATAATGATGACGGTGATAAACGAAATATATAATTCTTTTTTTGATGGACTTTTGTTCTCCGAGCTGGATGTTTTGGTCATGGAGCTTTTATCGTTCTTATGATCAGCAGCACAAACTGCAAATAGAATTCATTTACACAACAAGAGTATTTAAAATATAGCTGGGAGATGCTATTTCATGAATTCACATGAGCAAACAAACTATAATATTGAGGGTCAACCATGCGTCACAAGATGTGTACATTAACCAAAAGTGTGGTTACGGTATGTAGATGACATTTTTATTATTATTAAATGGAATCTTTTAGAAGAATTGTTTGAAAATGTAAATATCACTTCGGAGAGCATCAAGCTAATAAAGAAAATAAGGTCCAGTGACCACAATCTAGCATTTCTTGACTGCTTGGTTAAACGAGGACATAATAATAAGTTGAAAATAAATGTATTCAGGAAATCGACACATTCTGATAAATACTTAGATTATGGTTCTTTGGCTCATGTGTTTTATACGAAAGTCATAGTCGTAAGAAATTTAATTAACAGGAGTATTGATCTCTTTACAGATAAGGGAGACTAACAGGTTGAATTGGAGTTTTGTCTACGTTTAAGGATAACAATTACCGCAAACAGTTTCTAAAGAAGATTATTAGGAATTAAAGGAAAAACTAAATTAGAATGTATACTGAAAGACTGGAAGTCCACCGTCGTCATCCTATACCGCAGTGAAACATCGGCAGAAATTAAAAGGGTTCCAAACAAACATGATATAAGAATGTATTTTCGGGTTTGTGACACTATAAGATCAGTATCAGTGAAGGTTAAGGATAGATTTCCAAAGGAAGAACAATAAAATATTGTCTATGAGATCAGCTATCATGATTGTAATGCAGCGTATATGGGAGAAACTTCAAGACAATTGAATGCGAGGTTGAAGGAACACAAAATATAATATTGAATAAAGCCATTAATAATAATAAACAACGCTTGGAAAATGTTCACAAATCCTCAGTCGATCTAAAGAAAGAATAAGTTGGCGATTGCATTACATGCGTTGGAAACAGGACACAAGATAAATTTTGAAGGGACCAAAAATACTTAGCATTAGTCATTAGTTTCGAAAACGAATATCAGTGAGATCACACTCCCTCCCAAATAAAATACAGTGAAAAGAGACTAACTATAATCAATCGGAATGAAACCAGCAACAACAACGGGACTAACCATTTTCATTAAATCCTCTGAACAAGCTGTATATTTTAATCCTGATCTAGATCGCCATAATAAAGTTACTCCACATAGATCTATAATTGTCATATCAGTGAGAATATTATCTTCTTTAACCTAAACGAAGAAAAGTAAAAATCATGAAAAGAATTCAAGGAAAGTAAAAATAATCATTATAATTTCTGCTATGGTATAAGAATTAACCTTATTAAACAAAGGATGAGTTGCTGAAACTGGAAATATGTATATGTGTTTGTAAACGGGGTTGAAGAATGACGTTACGTAAACGTTAACTAGTTACTAAAGTAGCCCGTTTTGGTATTGAATACAGAATAAAGATAACAGAAAAAATTTTCACTTCGACGATATCATTTACTTAAGCTGCACAGTTGTACATTATTATCATGGAGAGACTTGTAGAGATTAAAAGATTTTCTTGGTTTTAAATCACTAAATGGTCTTAGCTAGACTATCATCGAGAAACTGGAAGCATAAGGTGGCCGTTTAGTCTTGTGCGTATTTATGCTTATTTAATAAATATACAGAAGAATAGAAAGAGATTACATTACAAAGTGGTTTGAGATTTGAATTGTCAAAAAAGAGGTTAAAGAAGAAAAGGGGGGTGAAAATAAGTTACGCGTTGGAAATATGAGAGTTGACATTCCACCAGAAAGATATGAAAAAATTAAAATGTAAAGGTCATAATGTGAATTGAACAATATTCTAATTTGTGATGGTTTGGATTATCCCATTGGTTGAACAGTCATAGTTGATATGTGTCCATCGATAAACCATTGTGACAAGTTTATATAGAATAGACGGAGTGGGGCTAGCAGTGAAATCCAAGACGTGTTTCTTCGTGTCTGGGACTCGTCAGCTGGATATACCTGGATCCTAGAGTTGATATCCACGCCAGAATTAAAATTCATGTTTGCTGTACAAGTAAGTGGTTATCTAAATTCAGTATCTGAGTAAATAAGGCGTTGGTGTTTGAAGTGAAACTCATTTGGTTACAATTCCTGAGTGGGCATCAATTCTAAAATACAGGTTATATCTAGCTGACGAGTCACAAATAGGATGAAACGCGCGCCCTGTATTTTATTTCTATTCATATGTATGCATTTTGTAAGAGCATAATTGAACAAAATCTTAATGTAATTCATCTGATAAAATACAGATTTATGAACTTTATTTTAGGTTATACATTCCATATAATGATCAATGGTATTATGGAACTGTTGAAAAGATGTATACATCTTTTCAAGGAAAGAAATAACAATGAACAAATAACTGGGCATAAAATACAGAGAATAAATGGGTTTTTCTTACCAAATTAGTTGGTACGCAACGATTACTTCGCATTTCATATACAGAACCACATACACTAACTTCACGCCATTGTGATCGAATATTAGAACTGTAATGGAAAATGAAATATAGATTTGAAAGTAAAAAAATATTCTGAATGGAAATTGATGGAAACGATGATAAATAAATCTATGAATTGAAAATGATTAAATGTCTACATGATTCCGTTAGTTACTTAGATAAGGCACGAAACAAGGTCTAAAAAATATGATTCAATTATTAAGTGCACAGGTTTATGTAATCGGATTTGAATCACACTAGTTGACGGTTAGGAAAAGGAATTGGGTGGGCAGGATAGGATTCAGGTCTTTGATTTAATGTTGGTTGAAAGTTCAGTGATTTGACTATTGAATCACAGTTTCCAGTTTTGGTAAAACACAATCTTTTTTGGTAGTTTTTAAAACAAAAACTAATTTTAGCTAAACTGCCATTGAAGAGTAGGAAGGTCCGAACAGCTATTTCGCCCGAGTATGGAACTCCTCAGCAATGAGCATCGACTACTTCACGACAGAGAATCGTCCAAAAACCTTTAGTCTCGTGTGAGATCGTTTAACTTATAGACCGCTGGGCCGGTATTCAATGGTGAACCGGAGGTCTTGGGTTTGATTTCTTGTGGTGGGGTCGTCGATGTGCACTCCTGAGGAGTCTCTATACTAGGGTGAACTGGCCGTTCAATGTTTCGAAATTTCAGATGATGGCATAAGATCATTTGGTGAGTTAAAACTAAGAAAATTCTACAATCTTCTCATATTCCCTTATTCCAACAATAATCGTTCTTGATTAAACTTCCTACTATATCTGTATTTTCTTATAAAAATAGATTGCTGTTTAGTATCCAGTAATTAAATGTTAATTATTCTACTGCATAACACCGGAAGTTAATTTATTTATCTATAAAGTAACCTAATAATTACTATCCATATTGTAATTTACCATTATACTTTATGCCAACATACTAATTCTTTATTAATCAAAAAGGGAGATGTAAAAAGTATTATAAAATCCAACCACTTGATATTATGATAATGTACGTTTTATAACATCGACTCAGTTCCAAAACACTAGAGTCAGAGTGTAAAAATCCAACAATGCGATTACATGTTTACAATGAAATTGTAAAGGTTTAATAAATATAAAAAATAAAATACAGTAAAGATAAGACAAATTTTTTCTTTCACTTACTCACGATCTGTTCATAATTGTGATGAAGAGTTCAGATAGAGCATTATATAAGAAACAGAGAGAAAGAAGAAAATAACTTAATCAGTCTATTCAAAAAAGAACACTACAATAAATCAATGAGATAATATTTAGTGTATAATTAACTATATGAGCTAATATTCTACCAGCTAGTTAATTCATTACACGCTGAAACAGAAGAACTATTTGAAGTAAAATGTTTTATTGAATTAAAATTTTATTTTAGTGGCATACAAAAGTGGGATTAATTGGGATAGGAATCCATTTTTTTCTTATTTGCAACTCTTAGAATGAATACATTCAAAAGTAACCAGGTTTGGATAACATTAACACGTTGTTGAGGCTGAATACTACACACATGACATTAAAGTCAAACACGACCAGTACTTTTCAAGTACTTTTAACCTGACATAGTGATGTATCAATTATCCATATTTATTATTATTATTATTTATTTCAACACATAGATATTGGTACAAGGAGGCACCAAATACATATGCGCCACACAAATCTCATTCGATGTGTGTGAGGGCTGTGATACTGTCCGGGTGCCCAGACGGAAACAGGTGGTTTTCTTAGGGGGCCACACCCCGAGCCTTCGACCTGAAGGTCTGATCCACAAGGCAGTGGGGCATTGTAAGGAGATGCAGTCCCATGGAAGCCGGTGACCGAAAATTGGTTCATACGCCATTTGTTCCCGCAGGATACTGGAGCCCATGTGCACCATCAGTTTGGGATCCGGTTAAAGCGCCAGACATTCGCTTTTCGTCCTCTCATTTTCGTAAACAACACCCCCGCCACGAGAAGGCAGTGAATAGGACTTCCCTGGCAGAGGCTATATACGCGAGGCCGTGTGAGAGCATTTCGAGAGGGAGAGCGGACTCTCCCCACTCTCGGCCGTACCAGGGCGTTTGGGGGCCATAGCGTAGCAATGTCAGGTTTCATTAACATGATGTGAAATCTTTAGTATTTTACTCAAAGAATAGTTCAACTAGGCTAACTTCATGAAGATTTAGGTGCTGAATAGAAAGTAAAACAGAATCACGTACTAGGCAATGTCCAACATTGATTTCATAAACTGAAATTGGAATCAAAGCACTTATGGGCTACTGTAAAAGAGGGTAGGAGTATTTTATAAACAACGACTACGAAAAATAAGCATAATCTTAATTGGGTTACAAGTTAGTAAAGTTGGTCGAGATGAATGTCTATAGACTCAGACAATTAAGAGATACTTTGCGCAATCTCAGCCACTAATTATCTCGGTACATTATGCTGGCTAGTATAGTAGGAGGTTGGAATAGCCACACAAAGGTACAGAATGAGTTCAATAGGCCATACGTTATCGATGTGAGTTGATGTATCGGTGTCTAAATGTTCTAGCTGAAGTCTACGAGACAACTGAAATAAATGTTTGAAAGCACTAGAAATCAGTAAGAGGAAATACTGAGTACCATGACTCTAAATACTTCAATGACAATCAACACTAAAACATTAAATCCCTTTGACCACAAATCCAATTGGACATATGTACTAAGAGATGCGTCATACAAACAAATAAATTGGATAACTGATTACAAATTTGTGTCATAAACTGATAGTTATTATGTTGAAGTTAGAAATTACTTACGTCATTGAATCGAAACTTCTAGTTAACTTTATTCACAGCCCTCTAAATATAACTACACATTTCACATGTGATTTCTTTGGTTTCTCCAGTCCTTTAAATGATGATAATGTCTGTTTGATTTGATTTAAGCTAATGATTTGTCAAATACAGATTTATGTACTCCGGTTCGGGTCACGTGTACAAGAAGGTTATCAATACCACCAGGCTGCTGAAATCGAGCATACAACCTATTACCTAAAGTTAAATTCTCTGACCACTAGACCAAAACTTCGCTAATGAACTTTTATTTTATCGACATCACGAACAGAATTAAGTTACATATCCACTGAAAGCCAGGAAGCACTGGACAGCTGTTTCGTCACAATATGGGACTCCTTAGAAGTGTGAGAGTTCTTTCATTCACGACCTCACCCACTAAGGAGTCCTACACTAGGATGAAAAAACTGTCCAGTGCTTCCTGGATTTTAATGGATGTCTAACTTGGATCGGTTCGTGACATTAATAACGTTTAATAATCTCCTCAAACCTCTATACCAGTTAATATTTATTTAAGTAAAACTCCACATTTATAATAAAATGTTTTTTTTAAGTGAATGATACTTCCATGAAATACTTTATTAAATTGTAACATGGTTCGGAACTGATATATAAATTATCTACCTGCTTCGATTCATACTCATATAATAATATAAGACATACCTGAAGCTTCATTTGTTTGTTCAATAATTTTAGCTGGAGGAATCCGTAACATCATGACACCATTTGTTGTTAAACCATCCATAGAATTGTCACACTTCCATTTTATAGCACGTTCCTTTTCGAAAGAATAAAGTATAAGTAAAGATCAATAGCAGTATGCATAAGCTGATGAAAATTTGTATATAGTTTAATGATTGTATATTCAAGTTATCAAGTAATGAATGCGGAAAATTATTTATAAACTAGTCATTGGGTAGCAATTTTCCATAATGACTAAATCTGTTGAGGAATTTCAGTTTAAATAACAACTGGGCAAATTAAATGAATGATATGATTCAGTGTACTTGTTAGTGAAGAGCTGAAATGAAAAATTTAACTTTCGGCACATAAAGATGATTGCATAATGTAGGCGTAGAGGTTTGAAATTAATATTTTCACACGGTGAGGGAAACATTTACTCCGTCTTCAGTCCTTCTCAGGTTACTCCTGATCCCAAACTCGGATAAAGTAGAGTAAAAAAGAACCTTGCTAAAGACATCGCTAACCAGAAGTGAAATACTACAAAAAAGTAGAACAGACACGATATAGTTCTTAATATACCTGTAAATCATGAGCGTTTTACATCGTGCTGGACCCTTTTATGGGTCCAAATTATGGGAGCATAGATCGGTAAAAGTTTGAAGTACAAAGAAATAAATATATAAATAATCCTAGTGGGGGCTGTAAAAGTATTTGAAGGTTTCTCTCAAACATTTTTTCTCTTTCTATACTTTTATAAAAAGCGAAAACCAATCTACTAGTCTAAGACATATCTATTGAGATTATATACACATACAGACGGATACAAGTGCTTTAGTTTAAACTCCCACATAACACGATACCACAGAAAGGAGATTTAAAAAAGTGTAAAAATATCAAACAGAAGCAGAAGTAATGGAAAAAAAGTAAGGAAATAGACTTAAAGGATGATTACTTTGGTTTTGAAATATGCCATCTAGCGTCTTCGACCATTAATTCTGCACATCGAAACGCAAAGCGAGGATGAACCTATATCTTCTTATATTAATAAATAATGATATTATGAAACAGCAATATCTTTCAGTTTAATCATATTTGACCGGATAAACTTGTGAAATACGCCTTAATTATGGAAAAGTTTTGATGAGGAAAATCAATTTCCGACTAAAAAATTTAACGACCATGCTTTCATATATGCGGGCAGTGTAACTGTAACAATTATTACTCATATTATGAATCTACTACTACTTATATTATATTCCTTAATACACAGGTAACGCTTTTATTCGTGTCTATCAACTCTATGTATTTCAAGGGTTGAGTTTATTCGATTTATCGAGCAGTAAATATGAAGATTATGAAAAGTATTGTTGGGCTACTTAGTATGAAAAGTTTTCTACTGGAAAGATTTAAAAATTAAGTTGAGTAATAAAATTGATTACTATCAGATAATTGTATTTCATGCTTACCATAACCTTTCAAAGGATTATTTAAAGAATGCACCACAGATTTAGACACAAGTCATTAATGAATGACTGAAATAATTTACTTTGAATCAGTTCTAATTATCTGCTTACATAGAGCAGAAGATTATGAAATAGATGACAATGTTAAAAATTAGTTCCTAATGGATACCAAAGATAATTCAGTATAATTTTTAATATAACTGAGGAACAGTTGGAATTACTGAAGAACAAACTGTATGAATAACCCAGAATATACATAACAAAAATACAAAGTGACTGATAACAAAGCAGGTTTTAGATTTTACAAACCTTACAGAAATTCCCTTTCATACAATTGATAGTAGGCAAGTTTACATGAAACAGCTAAAATGCAGCTGACCTGTAAAAGTATGTGATGAACCATTATCATTTTAAAGTAATATGTACTGGTTAAAAGTAAATATGCACACTCAACTAAGGAAAAAAAATATTTCAGAGGTTAAAAAAGTGTTGTGTTATTTCTAATGAAATAGCTTTTAATTTAGTGTCAATAGGAAATGCACATTTAGTGTGAGGATGAATCGTATATGCTGAGATCAGTCCTTTTTAAAACACTTATCTTTGAAATACGTATTATGTGCAGTTTATTCTTATTTTCAATCCCATCGAGTATTGTTAAAGTGTAATCATTGAAAAAATGTATATTTTGAAAAAAACAAAAAAAATAAGAATACAAGAACCCAATTTATCAAGATTTATAAAAGGAGCAATGCATTTCAACTTGACCATTAAATTAGAATTCCATTGTTTGTTTTTTTCTTAAAAAAAAAGAATACAAAGGATGAAAACATGAACCGCAATATTTGAGCCCGAATAAATAACAGTTTTAATATCCTGGTGTTATATTTAACAGTTAACATATATGGTAAGTAATGAATCGCGAAGCGGTCATTAGGAAAAAGAGGAAGAACAATAGACGAAATATTTATCCATTGTTTGATGTAAATCAATTTGCCAAAAATTGGACAGAAAACTAATGTAGATATTGAAAATAAGCATTTTTGAAAGGCGATTTCATATTCCAGGGAAAAAGATGGGTAATTTTTTTTGGTATTCGGACTAACTGATAATATACTGGCTTTACCTAAATATCATCACTTACAAACTGGATTGAGTTGTAGATGTAATAGTGCATGATGTATGAAATAACGACCAGATAATTTGGATGAATACTACATTATTCATACTTAAGGTGTAAAAATAGAAGTCCGTCAGTCATAAACGAAACAGAACCTAAAACGAATGTATATCGGTATACACTATCACATTTATCAGCCAGTTTATTATTTTATTTCTGTAGGTCCGAAAAAACTCGAAAATATGCGCTGATGGAGACCTAAGCATATTACATTGAGTAAAATTTAAATTTTATCGAAAATAATAACTGACTATTCTGTATGAAGGCAAAGTATCAGTTCAAATAAATACACTGCGAAGATTTCGAGGAATATCTTACTATTGTGGTAATATGAAAAGTCCAAAACCAGTATACAAGTGAAAAAAAGAGAACATGCACAATTCAATGATGACTGTTCGTAGCTTCTTTGGTATTTCAATCAACCAAATTTCTATGTAGTTGTCACATAACGTCAAGATTTTGTGTTCAGTATATTAACTGTTGAAATTAGACAATACAATCGTTAATGCTTTCATTACATGTACTCTTTCCGAAGATCGTATTGTTTGAAACTTGTATAAGAACAGGAGTAAGTGATTATGAAAAAAAGGATCTAATAATACTTCATGTTTTATGTAATTCAAAGTAGTTTTACCCTTAGGCTTAAATAGTGTACCACAGTTTGATCTATCTGATTGTTTTATATGGTTAAAATGAAAATGATTAATAGTTTGTATTTATCAGTTTCCTAGAATTTTGTTTTAAGTTACAGTCGATTTACTAATTAAAATAATTGAAATGATAAAAAAAATATAGTATGAACATAGATTCAGTTAATAATTAGCAACGCAATATGAGGAAGAACGATCGTTGGTAACGTACAGTAGAATACAACAGTGAATCAATTCAATATAAATTTTACATTTACATTAAAGATGGAAAATTAGTGACCAACACAAATGGAACCTAAAAAAAGTCACACCGTTTGAAGACAGAATAAGTAGTAGAATTTAAGATAGAAGAAGCTTAATTGTTCAAACTTTTTATTTAAAGAAAAAATGAAAAAAATTAGTGAATTTGAGCGATAGTGACAATTTTTCATCTACTTCGGTTAAACTCTGTAATTATCAGTTGTAGCTATTCCATAAAACTCCCACAGGATGTCGGTATAGTTCATACTTGTAGTTGGAGACTATATGGATTAAAGATGAGTCCTGATTTGACAACATTGGATTATCTTTTATTTTTAGAACACCGAAGTTAACTCAGTACACCGGAGTATAGAATAGCTCAGCATACGTTACAAATGCTTTGTCAACCTTAGATAACGGTTTATAAACTTATCAACTAACTCGTTTTTCTTGTCTTTTCTTTACTTTATATCTAGATTTAACATCACTCAATCTGTTGTCCAATCAAATACAAGTGATATTCCGTCGAGACTTACGACATAATAACTATAACCAAGACATATCTTAGATTGCACAGTAGTTAAATGAGATGGAAAACTATGATAACCGAGAGACTCCGTTTAATTCTAATGTTTGCACACATGGTTTAAAGCTTGATTGTCGTTCTTTGTCAGTCGGTATTTTTAATCTATAAAAACATATACTAATATGCCTTTTTTAAAAATAATCTAGTATATGAAATTCGATTAGAAACATCTTTAAAATTAGTCATGATAACAGTAAAGAAAGTATATTCCAATAACTGTAGGATTAACAGCTCAAATTTTGTCGGGATAACAAAATAAGAGGTTCAGTTGGATCACATAGTGTTTTGTCTAATCATAAGCGAATGTTAAACTAGAAACCATTCTAGAAGTCACTAAATAATTAAAATAAAGCCTGGTCCCATGAATTCAGCACAACATTAAAAGCTATGAAGTGAAAAATTACTTCTAAATATAACCACCATAGAATTATTTTCTTATGGCCAACTGCTCTATTCATTCATATTAAGTAAATAATAATAAGGTATGATGTAATCTCTGTGATATGTGGTGTCCGAGAGCTGATATTGATACTCATTCCTCCCGTACACAATTCCAGACACTTAAAAGAAAAGAAGAGCGAAAAAGGAAGTTTATTTAGACTAAATGGATTCAAGGAACAACTGTACACTTGTTTAGGTACATGTGTTTATCCCTTAGGAAGTTAACCTTGTCAGTAATTAATGTCTTATCTTTTGCAAAATAAAGCCATTCCTTGGCCAATCACAGACACGTCTTATTTGGCGGTTCATGATTGACCCACTGTTATAGTAATTCAGTAAAGCCAGTATCAGTTTATGTATTCAACTATTAATCGAAAGTTGGTATGTTTTGCATATGTTCGAAACTATATAATTGAAGATTAAGTGCTTTAATCACTGAGTCACCAAAAAATGGGCATAACAAACTTCTTTCTAAATTTAAAATGATTAAAACAATGAAATAGATTACAATAATGAAATATTTGTCAGATAAAAACA